TTATCAGCCAATGAGTTCAATGCCTTGTAAGTCATTGGACCATAGTAAAATGTTCAGACATCACTACTTTGACTTCCCTTGCTGCATGCTCCAGTCCAATGACGTTTTGCTGAGCTATGCAACTAGCAATTTAGGGGATCAGCACTGGCAGCCCCTATATTTCTTTCAGTACAGGTTCCCTTTCTAATGCAGGCAACTGAGGGCATGTGATAATGACTTTGAAGTGACTGAATGGCAGGCAGCTGTTACAGTAGGTCTGGACAATGATAAACCTGCCAATTGCTGACACGACTGGATCTGTGTTCTGTCCTCTCATACAACGTGGGGGCCTGTTTTTGTGTATTTCCCTTTATCACATACACAATGGCTATCAATTCTTATATTTCCCTTATCATGTTCTGCATATGTTTAGAATATAAGTAGAATAAATGAATATGTAGGAGTTTATAAAATAACACTGTCATAGGGATCTGATTACAAACAAACGGTATGAAAATACTATGGGAATAATCAAAATACCCATGACTTCCTCTGTGTCACTTCAGGTACACTCCAGAAAAACATGGTTTTTTTTAAATTTGAAACTGAACTCCAAGCATACAGCTAAATTTTAAAAAAAACATCTATTGGAGGTGTTTTACCTACCAAAGAATTTGTATTTCTGTCCACCCAGTCATGATTGTACATAAATATTTTGTATTTTTACTTTCAACCAGATGGAGTTCTAGGCTTCTTTTCATGTTTGCTTCTCTAACATAAGTTGCTCGGTTGCACAAATTGTATGTTGTGTACAGAGTTCAGTAGCTCAAATTAACACCCATTTTAAACAGAATAAGTCAAAGGAGTGACTGCTCCCCCCTCACTGCTTGCTCTTTTTGGGCAGGCTGTACAGACTTTAAATTAGAGAGACAGAGTCTGTAAGCAAACAGTGTCTGTGTGTGGTTTGTTGTTGTTGACTTTTTAGTTTCTTTTAGCCCACCTCAATATAAGTTGGCCAGATCTCAATGCCTCGTTGGTCCCCAAGCACTACTTCATGGAAACAATGAACTACATAGTGTGATGGATGTGGAATATGCAGATTCCTTCTTAAAAAGACCACTGTGCTTTGTACTAGTTTAGTGGGGGGATTTTTAGTTCCATTTAGCCCACCTCAACATAACCAATGTGGTTATACTATCTCACACACTAACAGACATACACTGATCTATGCTACACATATATAAGAATTAGTACAATGGATCACACCCAGGTTAGATTTTATAAGAAGAGGCTGATAATATACAATGATGTCTTGCATAAAAGAGATGAAGTTAGTGTAAAGTAGTGTATTGAAAGCATTATCCTTGATGTGATAACAGCCTTCTAATCCAAAATTGTGTAATGCAGAGGTGGACTGGGCAGAGAGGCTTTTGCCTGTTGGGCCAGAACTCATGTCATGTAATTTTTGGGTTAACCAGAAGAAGCCAGCCTATGGATTGTGAAGGCATGTCCCGGGGTAATGATCTCCTCTCCAGTGACTTTGCCTGTATTACGCGAGTCAAACGTTTAGGTCTCTGACCACCTGTAACTAAAAAGAGCTCTGAACTTACTGTGAGTGTGATTGCCAACCCTGACCCTTTGGGAAGCGGGAAGCCCTTACATGCTGCTGTAATGGAATGAGGAACTTTTAAAAATACAATAGAAAATGCACAATGCTGTAGTGGCATACATAACTTTCTCTTAAACCTGATACAAAATCTATAAGAGGCTCCCTCTTTTCCTGTACTGCTACCTCTGTCTCTCTTACCCTCCACACCTCTACAACACCGCCACCCTTTTTAGGGGTCTCCCATCCCCTCTCTCCTATCTTACACATCTGTTCATACTTTCTCTGCACATGGTATAGCATGTGGCATTTCTGAATTGATTTTTTAATAGGATAGTATAAGTCACAGGTATTCTGTTTTTTCCATAAGCATGATGAATTGAGTTCCTCAAAGTCTACTGTGTAGGATTGAATAAACAGCCTTTTAGACGGTACCATTCTTTTATTCTTTCTTTGATATACATATAGTAGCATGTTTAATCTCTTTGCAGAGAGCTGAAGACCATTCCTCACATTACTTAATATGAAAGAACAGCACACATGCTGGCTTTCTAATTTAGCAGCAAAATACACAAGGTTACCTTTGATTTACTTTTCACAAATACCCAACATTGTTCACAAAGCATATAAATAAACTAAACCTGCATTTTTAATTTGCCCATTGGCTTGGAAGGTTAATTGGAATTGTATTTACTAAAACTCAATTAGTATGAGTAACTATTTCAGTCATCTGTGCCATATGGTGATGGAACCGCTGTACGTCTGACAATGACGCAGTCCGTGTGTTCTCTAGAGAGGCGATAAAAATATGCACAACACAGTGTCCCATTTATTATGACCCTCGTTATGGAGTTTATTTCACAATTATACATAATGTGTTTATAAAGTGCTGACCAGACACTGGATGGATAGCATTGCAATCATTTTACATTCAGTAAAACAAAACACCATCAACATAAAGTACAAACACATCACAAAGAAACAGATGGGCTTCTGGTGGATGTAAGTAGCAATATTATTCATGAAATGACTACAAATAGAGTCACACACAATGTTTTAGCTATTATAACTTGCATATGCCTAGTCTGCAGAGTTCATGAAGAATTGCAAAGGTACATGTTTGAAGTGGACTGACTGAAGATTTGGTACCTTAAAGGGAACATCTAGAAATGCAAATTGTGCCTAACAGTATCCTAAAAATGATTTACCTTTTTTAATGCCTCCTATAATATAGTAGTCCATTTCCTATGTCTAAGCACTCATTTTGCCTCATAGCTGTATACTCTTACCAGATTTGGAGTGATATTTGGTAGACATGTGCGATTTGTTTCGTTCCGAATCGAAATTCTGATGAAATTTCAGAGATTCAGATGTATCCGAATTCCGAATTACAGCTAAAACGAATGCAAACGAATCCGAATTTCCGATGCCGAAATTCGTTAGTGGTAGTCTGTATGAATTGTCGTTTTGTTTTCGTTTCGTTCGTTCGTTTGTTGCAGCAACGTGACATTTGAGAAAAAAACATTTTACATTTTTTTTTTTACAGTCTGCAGAAGAGGAAAAAAAAAGTGTGAGGTTCCCCCCAATTGATACCAGACCCTTTAGGTCTGGTAGGAATGTTTAAAACAAAAAAAAAGTGCAGATGCCGCCCCCCCCTTGTGAATGAGTAAGGGATACCTGTACCCCTACTCATTCACTAAAGGTTTCAAATTCAAAGTAAATAAACAAATCACACTTTTGGAAAAAATCCTTTAATTGAAAAAAACAAAGAGACAATATTTTACTATTCCTTTAATTAACAAAACATTAAAAAATGGCTCCATCGATGTAATCCAGCGTCAATCACGATACACGACGCCCGTCGACCCGCCGAAATTAAAAAAAAGTCCCTCCGCACGACGACCGCCCAAACCCGACGAAAACTCACCACAAAATGACATTCAGCCCGAAAGTAAACAGATGGGCGGAGCGAGCCGTGACGTCACGGCTAGCTCCGCCCATTTGACTTCTCAGCTGTGCTCCCGAATGCCATTCGGGTCTGTGAGCTGAGGTCTCATAATACTTTTCATATGCAACGAACGAACGAAATGAACATGAAACGATAATGTAATGTAACTATGTAACGAATTTCGTCCGATTCCAAAACAAATTGATTTTCGCACCCGAATCCGGAAAAAATAAATAATGCAAAATCCGAATCACAACGAAACGAAACATATTTTTTGCCGGTGCACATGTCTAATATTTGGCAATGTCACTACTACGCTACGCAGAGCTGTACTACTCTACAGCTACTGTACTGTAAATGACTTAGAAAGTACAAAAGCCAAGTGATGAGTATGACAACCAAGGAAACTTACAGGTTGGGTCAGCAGCAATACATACATGAGACATACATATTCTGACCTTCCATGCTCATGTCACTACCAGAAGCGCTCAAATTCCGGTACTGGAAGCCAAAAGTCCCTAGTCATCCACTTGGTATAATCAAGAATGCAAACTTACGTTTATCATCCACCTAGGTGCTTTGGATGAAACACACAATCCCATCCTTCCTATATCCCATCCTATAAAAATAGAGGGAAGTTAATTTTCCAGTTAAAGTCAGCATGTAGTTCTAGAAAAGTACTAAACTAATCCATAATAAGGACCTGGATTGGCCATGTAATTTCAGTGTCTTGTGTTTTCATATACAAACACACTAGAAATAAAATGAAGTATGTTGTGAGAGAAGTAACTCATCTGGGTCCTTGTGTCCTTGGCTAACCAAGGTTTTTTCTACATTTCCTCATGTTATCTACAATACACACTAATATGAAAGACATGTGAGTAGAAACACCCCATAATGATGATGGGTGCAACTAGGGTAAAAGAAACAAGCATTGTCCAAAACAGGCATCAGAGATGGGATCACAGGAAGGTAATAGCTGTTATGCCTTTAGGACAGCCTTTAGATGCTTCTTGAGCTACACTTGATTAATACAAAGGTAACCTGTTAGGTAAAAATCTTAATAAGTCATATGTACACTTTCACAACCACTGTTTGAACAAGAGGTTGTATTGGTAACAACTTGTTGTATTGTGTAATGCAGAACAGAGGGAAATTGCTCCTTTGTCACATGTAAATCCAAAGAATACATGGTGGTGGAAGCAACAATCATACCTTATCAGCAGAATGGTTGATGTGAATGGGCCAGTGTTCTCTGTAAAGTGCTGTTGAACATCATGGTAGGAGCTATGTAAAAAGGGAGTTTCGGAAACAAACTTTTTTCCATCAAAGAGGACCCTATATGTCCCACATAGATGATTGACATGGCTTCTCTGATCTATTTTCTCCATGTCTTTAATACTACACATTCCAAGACCAGAACATATATTACACCATTCAACAATCCAGACCTTTGATTAGAATTTGTCTTCCATAAATCTCCACATAACAACGAAAGGTGGGACTTCTGTAACTTCTGAATGAATTAGTTTAATTCAGGAAATATTTCTGCATATGAAGGTGGCAGGCTGCGGTGCGTATTTACACTCTGGAGCTGTTCATGCTGCCCCCTGGAGCATGGAGATCTGAAAAGGTGGAGAAATAAATACAAAGTTAGGAATATTCAATCTTATCCTAGGAAAAAAGATGAATCTAATATGTTCAGTATGATATGAAATGATATTAAAAGAATCTTGCTATGACCTATCCCTCGAAAATTATAGAGCTTATGCCTGGAAACCCCCCTCTACCCGTTAACCACTAACCCCTCGAATTGCTAGATTTAATTTAACAAAATCTAAAAGCCCCAAATACTTGCATGAATCCATGGTTATGTGACATACCAAAGCCCGAGTGGTTTTTCTTCTGGCCTGCAAAGTGTCAGGGACCGGTTTCAGTTCTTCACATCGCTCCTTGGGTAATGTGGACACTTCCTAATGGCTATCCAGTGGCTGGGTCCTGACAGGTCCCAAAAGACTCCACTAACATGATAACATCTTGTTGAGGGATGGCAACAATACTGGTTGATGAAGGGCCCAGAATGCAGCAGTGGATCACTGGTCTCCTCAGCTGAAAGCGGCGACGCGGAGGGTCATATGATGGATGACTTAAGTAAGTAAAAAAAGGGATTTTGAAGGTTTTATTTTTTAATTATGATTGAGTGGGAACAGTGACGGTGCAGTGTGGGAGGGAGGGATGTGGAAGGGGATTCACATTTGGCCAGAGATGGAATTTAAGAGACAATGTTAAATAGAGATCTGAAAAAAAAACAGACGGGATCCTTCTGGACTGACAACCTTGTACCATACTGTAGTACACATTTCTTAAAAAATGTTATACAGTGTTAACCCCTTCATGACTGAGGCCCTTTTTTAATTTTTTGCACCCATGTTATATTACCCAACAGTTTTGGGCCATAGTTCTTTTTGGGGTCACAGGAGGGCATTTACTATGTCCTTCTGTGACCCAAAACTCAGCATATAGCGGGCTGTAAAAAAGAACTCTTCTATAATATGTGGATTATAAATTCTTCTTCACATCAGAGGTAGTTATAAAGGGAAACTCATACAGGATTCTGGAAAGGACACAGTAGTTTTCTTGGTCAAACATTATTTAGATGCTTTCTGTTAACTGAAGAAATCCCCACGCTGTAGGAGACTAATTTACACTGTAGCCACCTTGCCCTAATCAGGGTCACTCCTTAAATTTAGTCTGCTGGGACTGTATCCAGTCTAAATAATTTGATAATCTGTGCTCATATGCCTTCTACTAAGCACAGTGCAAAGCATCCAATGGTGGGGTGTTATGAATATACATGTCTCACTAGCCAGTCACTAAGATGTTCATGGCTAGTGGCGCATGTTGGGGGATGACATAAATATTCAGGTATGACCATGTGAGCTCCCCCCTCTTCCCCCCAGCCTACTGCTCGGGGGAGGATGTGGGCTGTGATGTGCTATCTGGCCAGGCCTGTAGACTGCAGGTGGTCAGGTATGAACCCAGTTGGGGTCTTAATCTGTTCCTGGGATTGAGAACTGGGGAGGCACTTTGTCTGCTGGAGGTGCCAGGGAAGCCAGAATGCAGATCTCCAGATTGCAGGATGTCTGGTGTCTTGCCTAGGGAATTCTGTGCTATGTCTACTGACCAGCAAAGGTTCTACAATACACAGTGTTACTGCAATCAGTTTAAAGGTCCTCTGCACTGTGAAGCTGTGAAGTGGTCGGTGAGTCTGGAGTTCTGTACTGTTCTAGATGTTTGTAGCCCTTTACCCTCCCTCCCATGTGAGTTGCTTAAAGAATAAAATTCTAAAGTGACTGGCGCCCAACTTTACATTCACATCCCACAACTAGCTAAGGACTCTGAGGTGAAATATCAGCTCACCCAGCCGCTGAAGTCCCCCACATGCTCCTAGGGGTCAGTGGGGTGTTATCAGAAGGCTTAAACTGATTTATTTGTAAGAAATTGATGACACACGTTATATGAATATAAAATTCATAAAGGATAGGTAGGTATGGTGTGGAATTGAAACCAACTGGTCTACTATCTTAGTGCTGACATTCATACATATGCAATTCGTTTATATAATATGCATTCTGTCATAGCACAAGAGAGACAGGTAAATCTCAATGAAATAACAAGATTTTATGTCAAAATACTGACATAAAATGAATATCTTATTGAGGTTTGTCTCTTCAGTGCTATGACAAAAGTCCTGTTATTCAAAAATCTTTCGAAAGAGTTAAGGTTCATTTACCTGTCAGCACTGTGTCCTACAGTAGGCATAGACTAGAACAGAGCCAGATATACCATTAGGCACAGTAGACCTCATCAGATGCATCTCATGCATCTCATGTATCTCATATAAGCCTATTTACACACTGTCCCAAACTGTCCCAAAATTCTAAGCAAATTTCAGACAAGTAATAAAATAAAATAAACAATGTTAAGCAAGTTTTGCACAGACTGAAAAATAAAGACGCATACCTGTAAATTCCGTTGTCTGAAAGTTGTAAGGTTGTATTTTCTTCCACAAATGCTGGATTGTCCATTGTATAAATACTGTAATACTCAGGGGGAAGTACTGGTGGTGGCATTACAATGGGAATACTAGAACCGCTATTACCAATGACAGGTGAGGGCATGGGAGAAGTCAATGCATTTGCATCTTGAACGCTATTTGGAGGAGGAATGTACTGTACTACAGTGGCACCGTGGAAAGTTATTGGTTGGTTTATTCCAGTGAAAACAAAGGACTGTCCGGGTGAAAGTTGATCTGTCTCTAGCACCGTATCCTCATTGCTCTTACATGGCTTACATGACAGCAGTTTAAACTTGCATACTGATATCAGTGCAAAGGTCACACCTACTGATAATAGAATAGGCCCCAACAACTGGGTCCACTCAAATCTATGGTTGTCATCACGCCTGATCCATCCCATTGCAGTAAATGTGATTCCAACCAGTCCCAAAAACATTCCAGAGAAAAGCAAGGTGGCTCCAGCTTTATCACCTTCCGAGGCTTGAACATCCGGCTGGTTGTTTGTGAACGGGGTAACAGAAAATACATTGAGGGAGAAATCATCTACTGGAGAGTTCCTCTGTTCCATGCTTATCTGCTGGTTGTTTCTTGCTGCAGCCTAAAAAGAAATTACTTTGCCAAGTTAAAAGTTCAGGAGGTACAACAAACTCTAGACTCACATGATTTACACATAAAGATTAGACTTTGGTAGGCAGGTATAAAGGTCTGAGCAGTGAAGCTTAAATATAAAGGACAAGGAAAAGTATTTTCTTTTAGATTAACTTCGCAAACTCAGTAGAAATCTACATGAACTGGCATATACCTACTGAAAGTGTCTCTTACACACAATTCATTTAATTATTACTCAGAAACCAGTGACTCTTAAGGCCTAAGAACACTGATCTTTAACCCATATGTGACAATTGTGTTGTATTGCAATTATACCACAACATCGAAAATGACTCAAACGATATCCACCCAAAACCCAAAACTATGAGTACCAAGAAAAGGTAATTCAGGTTAATGTTTTACATATTAGTCTAAAGAAAAATGTGACTAGAATGGTAAAATTAAAATATTGCCTTGTACCTGTACAATACTGGGAGAGCAAGGCATTTGTCATGTATAATGTAAAACAAATTCACATAATGATGTCTTCAACTTGCAAAATTCACAAAATGCCAAGGTTAAAGAGTTTTGTGAAGGCCACATTCATCCTGAGCCCAGGCCTCATTAAGTCCTTTTTCAACTCTCTTCTGGTATAAATAATATGACATCTCTAATTGCCATAAAATATTGCAGCATTTAAACAATGCTAATTCATTTATGAAAAGCCTATTTATTATCCTGGACCTCCAGAGCATAAAGCCCCTTTAAAGCAATCTATGTTTGAGTTTTACACAAAAAGATGAATATGGTTGTTTAATAAACAATGAAATTGATGAACTACAATCTTTATCAACGTGCCAGAATAGCCGTGAACATTTGTGTACAAACCCAATCCATTCTGTTAGGTCATATGAAATAATGGTCACGCATCTAAAGCTAATATTGTTTTGTATGTGCAGAAATGTTAAAGAGCTCCAGTCAAGAAACAATATTTTGAGGCAGTTGCATGACCACTATTGTCTGAAAAATCTATTTTATACTATTTAAATCCAGTACTTAACTACTTAAACCCCCAGGACTTTTTCTCCCTAAATTCCCTTGAGTCCCATATCGATTTTTTTTTGTTTTGGTGATATGTCAGGTCCTTACCTTATATATTTTTTAGGTTTTATAGTCTACCCTAATATATTACACAAAGGTTTTTTTCGAGGCAGATAGAGCTTTAATTTGGTTTGGATACATATTTTATTTCCTTGATGTTTATTGGGAATAAATAGTAAAACAATTTGAAAAAATCTTTTTATTTTCCTGTAATTTACCAAAGCAACATGCATGCACTTTGCACACACCCATATATTAACCACAAAATATAATTAAGTCTTCTTCATTTGCGGCTATTATATAGCCATGAATGCGCAGAATCCGTCCAAAAAATTGCGATTGTACTTTTTTGCGGGCTGCACGGTTTTGTACAGTGTGGCCGCCGTAAAAGTCTGAACAATGCACATTAAAGTGCATTGTTTTTTCTGCTTAGAGCGGCTCCATGTGTATTTGGCCGCCAGAATACATGCGGACATCGGGAGTGTAGTGGCATCATGGCACTTCATACTGCAGCAGTAGACTATATTGGTGGTCAATGTAGTGTCCTCCTACATTGGTGGTCAATGTAGTGCCCCCTTAGGCTCCATTCACACAGGTTACAAGATGCCTGCTTTTGCTAGGAACATTTACCTCAGTTACTGAACAGACTTTCAGTCAGCAGAGCACAGGATTGGGGACAGACTTTTGGCGGGAAAACAGCTGACCAATGAGCGTAACCTTTCACCTCTATATTCACTCCGGTCACTGGACGGTGTCAGCATTTACCTCAGGACTGCCAGCTGGACTCACCTCTGGATTAGCTTCAGAATTCCTGTTGGATCTTTTCACTTGCTTCCCCACCCACCCTCCCCTTTGCTCTACTTTCCCTCGTCCGGGTCATTCTATATGGGGTAGCATTGCTGCTTGAGTCGTAGTGACTAAGCATGCTGGTCTGTTAATGGCTAACAGTTTGGGTAATGTCACCCACTTTTTGGGTGGACAGTGGTTAGTAAATGTTAATTTGGTTGGTGTAAGTTATTGCTGCTTGAGTCATAGTGAATAAGCATGATGGTCTGTTATTGGCTAACAGTGGTTTTGTTTGGTAATAAAGGTTAAAGTCTATTTATTGGTTAAATTGATTAAAACCCAATAAAGAGGCCGCGGCCTATAGTTATTCCACAATCATTGTTGTGTTTTACTTTATTATTTAGGTTTATTGTTATGGTATGATGGGTGTCAATGGGGAGTACAATCTCATGTTTTGTCTAAATTTTCAGTGTGCAAGAGCAGTCAATAATCCAGAGTTAGTGCTGGGCTTTCTTATTCCAAATTCTAGAATCCCTGGCAAACAAAGTAACATGAAAGCACCCTGTGTAAAATATTTAAAAAATGAAGATGTCATACAAAGACTGAAATAAAGGATAGAAACCATCAGTTTCAAAATGCATAAAACTTGCATAAAAAATGTACAAATGTCATAATGACCATCACAGAGTATTTTTGAGATTATATTCTCTGCTGCTCACACAATGTGTAATAGTGAGATGCCAGATGCCATGGGGTTCCAATGTACAACAAAATGTGTAACAAAAATGACAGCGCTATATATATTTAGAGTAGCTTGTTAATTATTTCACCAGCAGTTCTGTGAAAAGCTCTAGTTAAATAGTAGGTGGACAATGATGAGCAGAGTGTAGAGACACTACTATAGTGAATACACAGACAGAATACTTACATGGTTACATAGTATTTGAGGTTGAATAAAGACACAGGTCCATCAAGTTCAACCTATTGCGTGTATGTATGTGATTCTGCATGTGTATGCGTGTGTATGAGTCTGTGTGGTCATGTTTTTAAGTGTACCTGTACCCCTGTATGTCCAACTGTATGTCCAACTGCTTTTTAAATGATTCAATACTCTCCGCTGAAATCACTTCTTGCGGCAGCGAGTTCCAGACCCTAACTGCTGTAATTGAGAAAAATCCCCTACGCCCCTTGTGCTGAAATCTTTTCTCCACCAATTTTAGGTGGTGGCCTCTAGTCTTTGTGATGGAATTTACCATAAAAAGTTTATTGCTGATGTTGCTATCACCACTATACATTTTGTACAACAAAATCATGATGTTCATTGGTGATAGCAACATCAGCAATAAACTTTTCATTCATTTTCAAACGATCACAACACACTTTGAAGGGATAACTGATCTCATCCAGGACCTCAATGTCTACTGAATGGTCATTTTATGTAAGAAACAGAACTGATTCTTATTTCTTGTGAGAGACTCATTGTACAGGCAAAACACACAGGTACTGTACTTTTCAAGCACTGAAAGCTCCCACTAATGATCCCTAATTCATGTCATTGAGCACAAAGCTAAGCAATGAGGCCCTAAAATACAAGATCCGTTCTAGTACACAACCACAATAAACTGGGTACATTACACAATTCTGCATTCGTACACATTTAGCAGGATTAAACTTGGCTGGTACTATGCATTTTACCCAGAAAGTGTCCTTATGTTAGCTTTAGCAAAAAGTCCAACAGGGCACCGTGCACAGAAAAATACATAGAGCATTAAAGTGGACCTAACATCAGCCATATTTGTTGATGTTAAGGTGGTAGCAAACCGCATTGTAATATTTTCTGTTTCTGCTCTAATGTCCTAGTATGGACAGCAAGGTAAATGTGGGGGCGAGAGGACTATCAGTGCAGGATGCAATGCACCTGCACAGCCAGGAATGTCAGGACGTGCAGCGCGATCTGTGGAAGGTTAGCTTAGAGTAAAAGGGACAAAATGAGAAATGGACTTGACTTTAAAGTAGACTTGACATTTAAAGGCATGATAGCGAGGGTATCATGACATTATTAAATCTCTCAGCCAGGGGTCTCCCACAGTAGCACAGTGTATCAAGCACAGTATCAACTGCTTTCAGATACTGGACATACAACTGTGTAAATCAAATGTTGGCATTAAATAGTTTTTACTCCACTGAGACTTGAGCCACATTGAGGGCTGTTTCCCATAATCGTAGCGTTGGAAAAGGAAATACAGTTGCGGTAATGGTAACTAGGTCTAGAAGGGTCAGATCTGCAAGGCCGTTATTACAACCACTGCCTCCAAGTCTTCCTAGGGTTTCCTGCCTTATGTAACAGCTAGTGTTTGAGCACATGGAAATAAGTAGAGCTGCTATGTCTCTATATTTAAAGACCAATAGTTGCAGAGGCTAGCAGAGCACAGCAGCAAAGAGGTATATCTTTGCAGAGCTCAGTACAATCTTAGCATATATACTCGAGTGGATATTTTTTCTAAAGTTACCAACATTTCCTGCAATCTTAGCAAACAAGATGAAGTCAGGTATGCTCATCTATCATCTTACCACCGTGAGTGGTGATCAAAGAAGGGTTTGGGCACAACGTAGCAGGGGTCAAATGCAGGAACTTCCTTGCCAACCAAACCATCAAAACTCTAGAGCCAGAATCAGGAGTCCAGACCTCATTCTGACATTGGTACTGGACACCAAGGAATCCCTAAAGCTGATTGCTGAGATAATTAATACTTTAGTAGACAATCGAAGAAGTAAGAAAAGTCTTTTAATATTTAAAAGCTGTCCGTAGAGTAGAATAATTTTGAGAGATCTGTTTTCTAATCAGGATGTGTGATATCTAATGGATTGCAACCTGAGCTTCTTGGATGAAGGCGCAATCCTGATTTACTGTATTTTTTTATTCCAAAGTTTGTACAGATGAAGTAGACATCATGGACAAATCTACAAATATAGGCTGTTGCCATTAGCAAGGGTAAGCAAACTCCGGCCCTCCAGCTGTGATGCAACCACAAGCCCATGAGGCATTGCAAGACACTGACAGCCACAGGCATGACTCCAAGAGGCAGATGCATGAGATCTATAGTTTCACCATAGCTAGAGGGCTGGAGTTTGCCTACCCCTGGTATAAAGGTGTGTCCACAGTTGAAGACACTATGGATACTTAGGAGTTGATTTACTAAATAGGAATTTTACTTTGCAATTAAATGAGGTCAAGTTCTGCTGGCATCATCCAACCATGCGTAAGCAGAAATACAGGGTTATTTTTCATTTCCCTTGCACGTGATTGGGTATTCTTTGCAAAGTGAATTTTCACCACATTCACTTAGCTAACTGAACAGTCTATTTGCCTTCAACTCCTTAAAATACAGCTTTCCATCTCAATATATAAAAAAAATGACTGATGAATCACTAGTGGTTATATATTTTAAGGTTTTTATTATACAAGTTGTGACAATTATCTAGATTCAGTTATCATGTTGGTAGGACTAGCACATGTTCTAAAAAGGCAGATATCTCCCAGAAAATGATGGTCACAAGATAGCTTCCTGTACTTATAAAAATCCAGCCCTGCTGCAATTCTTGCCCAATTGTGACAGCAGCAGAGTCGCAATAATATTGACTCTTTCACTCATCTTAACATTGAAAGTTTGAACCCACTCGCAGGTAGATTTTCCAACAAGCTGATTATCCCCCTGTGCATAACAGGCACCTCTATCTGTCTGAGAAATTCGCTTCCACCCTCTAGCACATCACAAATGCACCATTACTCAAAAGCAGCATCACCTGCCTGCCTCAAGATATTTATGGGCAGCCTTAAAGGACACATGTGTAGAGAGAAACTGGAGGCTGCCATTGCTGAAAATGCTTTCTACCTGTTTTACATGCTGATATAATTTGTTTCTAAACCCCTGACCTGTAACAAGCATAAAGAGTTCACATGCTGTGTGCTTGTTCAATGCCAGGTAGTCAGAATGTATTGGAATCAGCATACTGGCATTACTGTCCAGCAACTGATATTTTCAGAAGGCGGTCAGCAATGTCAGTTAATGTCAGTTTTAACTAGTGCATGTTTCCTTGAATTTAGAAGGACCTTCCTGTCCATGATACTTATCTCCTGGGGCTGCTGAGAGCTGTACAAACTGCTGGTCACATTCTGTGGTGTGCACAAAGACTGTGAACCAGATTTAAAAAAAGTGGGGGGGCAACGGCACAGCTCAGGGAACCATCATGAAAAAAGGTAATAGACAGGTAAACAAAACCTAAAAATGAAGCATACATTGCAATGTGTGTTTTGGGTACATACTATTATAAAAGTTAACTTGGACTCTAAGAGTCATTGCTGACATAGAAAAGAATTAACAGAAGTTAATAAATACTATTTACAATGCTGACAATTTCACTTTCCTGAAATACTGAATGTTTCAGAACACAAGCAGATGGGCTTTAAGTCACATTGCAGGATTGGACATTTTTGGCAGACTCCATTCAGTAAGTGCAAAACTTTGAAAAGGAAAGTTTGATACCACATACATAGTATATAT